CTCTAATTTTAAAAAAAAATCAAAACTAATATATATTTTAATTTAATTATAAAATTCTACTATAAAATAAAATCATGTTATACATTTTCTCAACTCAGTCATATATTGTAGTCTAAATCACTAAAAATGAACATTTTTAAAATAAATTTGCTTACTTTCTCGATATTATAAAAATCCCGTAACATAAAAAGGAAAACATTAGATAGACCTGTGACATTAACACATTTCCACCTGGAGCAATGCTAGGGGCACTCGCTTCTCGCACTCTCCGGCCAACACTTCCCCTTTCATTGGGCCTCGTAAGTTTCTTTAAAAAGCTTTCAGCGCAACTTCGCGGGAACCAAGATAACGTGGCCCAATAAAAGAGAAAGTGTTGATCGGAGCGTGGGAAAAGCGAGTGCCCCTTGCATTGCTCTTTCCAATTGATAATCTAAGCTGACCCTAATCAATGCACATGACTCGATACGGTTTGGAAGAAAACAATATTTAAATATACATAAGTTAGAACCTTAAAAACAAAATAATATTATTAATTATTTAAATAATTCAATAATTACATTTTTTTTATAGAAATAAAAGATTTTAAATTTGAATCGTATAACATACAAATAAGATAAAATAAAAAATGAAAGATAATTATATTTCATTTCAAAATAAATAAATAAAAAAATACAAAATAATATATAAAGTCGTATTATTTTATTGCAGGGTTGTTTCTTTATGCTCCACTTGGGGTTTTTGTCAACCACGACGGATCAGACTTTTTCTCTTAATATTCAAACTTCAACGCACAACGGCACAAGTCATGCCTGATATTTTGGTATTCTATTCAATTAAGGACGCAGGGGTCTATTCTTTACTGGAATGCGTACTAAAAAATCAAAGGGACGACGAAAAAGTATGTAGGTAGAACAAGAAAAGATAAAGGGATCAGTCGAGATTCTGTTATGATTCTGCTCTTTTACTATCTAGATTGTTTTATATTATTTTATATTATAAGATGAGAAATTTTGAATAAAAAATTTTAACATTAATGGATTTTTTTAATTTAAAAATTAGTGTCTTATAATTTAAAATAATACAAATTACAAAATATATTTTTTATTTTATTATAATCACAATTCAAGTGTAAATATATTATTCTTTTTTGATTATCTCAAATCAACTCCTAAACTTGATAATAGAGATAATTTAACTTACTATTTTTATAATAAATTTAATATATATTTGTATCTTCCATGAGTAAGATATTGAACATATCACTTCCTAAATAGTGGATACTGATATTGTTCACATAAGTAAATTACAAACATGCATTAGGAAAAAAGTTAAATTGCCAAAATGGACAAGTTCAAAGCTTAGTAGTTGTTTTAATAAAAGTTTAAGGGTTCAAATGAGATTCTAGAGGGACTTATTAATTGCTTTAATAAAAGTCTAAGGGTTAAAATGAGAATCTAAATGAGTGTGATATTTTAAATAAGTTTGAGAGTTTAATGTAAGGGTTTGCCTAAAAAGTAAAATATTCATGACTTTGTGTTGATATTTATTCATCTTTAATTTTAACATGTGAAAATTAAAATATTTATGATTTTGTGTTGATATTTATCTATCATTAATTTAAAATGTGAAAAATATAATATTTATGACTGTATTGATATTTGTCAATTTTTAATTATAATGTGTGAAAATAAATATTGAAGAGAAAATTTTATAAGATAACAATAGGGTTAAAATGAGAAAATTAAATATTTTTAATAAATTAACATATAGGGAAATTCTATTAAGGGGTATTAATAGATAGTCTTACAACCCGAATTTTAGTTTTTTTTCCTTTTCATGAATGCTAAGGCGAAAAAGACTAAATCGAACAAAGTACAGGTTGTTCTTGTCCAAGCTAAAAGAATCACACACACCATTGCATTAGCAAGGAATTATAGGAAGAACTATCTTCCAATTGCGCATGATAATCAACATCCTTATCTATTACATTGAAGACCACTGTTATTGCTTACTTCCATTCACCAACTTGATAGCTAGCTTTCTCATGACACTATAAGTGGGTAGGAAGAATGGGAACGTTAAATATTACATATATATACTTTTTCTTTTTTAGTTATTTACTCCAGATATAATGTATTCCTTTACCATTAAAATCTCACCACGTTAACTTCTTAGGACCTGTTCTAATTTCTCACCATGCTGCCATGTTTTCCTCCTGATCGTTTGGAAGCACATCGGATACCTTGCTGCAGAAACAAGAAATAAAAGAAGTGTCAGTAAGGACATAACACGTTGCCAAAAGCGAAAACGTATAATTACAGAATGATTATGCTTATACAACACTCCAATGCTTTTGCTCTCTCAAGTCCGGTCCAAATGAAAATCTCTGAAAAGTGCTTCTGGCTTTTCTAAAAGCTGTTTTCAGTTCCTAATGATTAGAAGCTAAAGCTACAAAAACTACAGCTAGGCCAAATGCAATGCCATTCACCCAACCATACGCTGTTGAAAGAAAAATGCAAACTTTAATTTGAATGAAAGGATAGAGGTACCTTGCGATATTCTGTTCAGCAAACATCACAATACAATTGGAATGATTTTCTTTTCTAGAAACCAAACAACAGAACAATTTTCTGCCATATATGGGAAGGGGGAATTCAAAAAACTTTAGGCTTAGAAACGTGTAGCTTACAATTGAGCCACAAGCTCAGGTGCACCATTAATGTAAAATATTTATAAATACAGGGTCTTAAAGTTCACAAAAGGACGCCAAATTGTCAATCTCTATCCCACAAGTTCACAAGAAAAACTATCAACTCCAGTGTGGATCTAACTAAATCATTCCAACAAGGAAAAAATTAAATTGTTGACATTAATGATTTAATTTAGAATTATAATATTTAAACATTACATATGTTAGAATAGGAAATAATTGTCCACAAATGATGTGTGAACAGGTTAGTAGCATGGCCTTTGCGCTTCATTTGTCAGTTTTTATTACATATCACAGGCATCAAACTCGCTTATTGTTGGAAGTATCAGTTCGATCTCTAACACATCGCCCACATGGCTTGATCAAGCACACACCAAATGGAGAGTTAGGAACAGGAATTAATTTTCCAACTACTGCAAGAGGCCAGCTGTAAAAAAATAATCATAGCCAGGTAAGTTAGTAGTACTTGAATTCCAAGATAAGATCTTAACCAGATGGTTCCAAACAAGAAATAATATTTTTTCTAAAAGAAGGACCTTTGATCATCCAGTTGTATACCAACACGAGTTTAAGACATTAAAATAACAACTCAGCAGGTGTCAAAGCATATCTATGGCATAAAACAGAATGCCAACCTGAAAAAGCCAATGCCCAGAGATGCAAGCCATAGCTTCCAGTCAAGTCGCACTGTTGAGGTAAACTTTCCAAGAAACTGAATGATGATTATCTATTAAAGGGTTACCAGTAGTGCTGTTAGTCGTCCAGGAAAATATATCATCCATCCCCTCACCAACACATCCACAAACACCATAGTATAAAAGAAGAAGAAGAAGAAGAAGAAGAAGAAGGAGCACAAATCACTTTTCACCTGAAGTACAAAGGTGAATCCAACTATTCCCATAAAAAGGTAGTTTCTAGTCACTCCTCTGAAGATGTTGACTTCATCAGGCTTTCTAGAGTTAAACTCATTGAAAATCTGTAATTTGAACACGTAGCGAAATTAAACTTCAAATAAAAAAAGAGAAATTAATACTGGAAAATGCCAAACATTTTATTGAAACTTAAGAAACAAGCTTGTTTATGGCATTCATTTTTACCCTAGCATTTCCTGTTTTAGACCAAAATACCCTAGAACTTTAAGATGTGGAAATAATAACCTATCTAATCCAATCAACCGTGCAGATGAAATGGATCATCTTAAATCCAAATTTCCACCCCACAATTTTAGACCATGTAGCATACTCACTTGACACATGACAAAGGCATTGAATATCAACGTATTCTTCACTTCAACTGCATGTGCCCTAGCATCATGTGTCAAATGAAGAATGGACAGGCCCCCAAAGTTGAGAACGAGAAGGATAGTAATTTGATAAAGAGCCTGCAATGACATGTAAGAGATAGTGCAAACAAATTGAGGCAGAAAGGTTACTACTTGGGTTATAATGAGATTTAACATTTCAGAAAAATAAAATGAACAAGGAACCTGTATGATTAAGTTCCTCCACATGATGTTTGTTATAAGGGGTTCCCTGAGAAAATTAAACATTTAATTACCACGAGATCATCAAATATCAGCTCAACATGCTGTTATAAGCACTACCACCATTCACTGAGATATACATTCTCAATCACTAAAAATAACCCAGAACACGGTTA